TACTGTGATTTAAGTGACCTGAAGACTGCACTGTATTTGAAATGACTTCCTCAGATATGATGCCATTTAATGAAATGAGGGATTCAAGCATTGAACCGAGCAGGAACAACGAAAACTTTAACTGGAGAAAGTTGTCTCAGAGAGCAATTTCTTTCCGTTGTTGATTATTCTTGTTTCTGGTGATCTTCGGTTTTATTTTCAAAGTTTTACGGAGTATATCATGATTTATGAAAAGTTTAAGAATAAATGGACTGGTTGTTTTACTCTTCATTTAAATAGTTTTATTCAGGTCCCGTATGTTTTGATGCGATACGTATCCACCGAAGAATTTCCAGGGAACGAAAGAGAACAATAAGTCACAGTGATGCCTGCGCAACGTGTACAACTGAAGCTAATTCGGTTTTGGAGGCCATTGTTTCAAACATACAGGACCAGATTCAAATTGAACTAGGATGTCAGTATCGCTAAGAGATGTAAGATGCGATGACCAAGAGAGGGGGGGATCTAAGACAAAGTGCGATTTGTTATCGCTCCCGACCTTTTTGCGAGTAAAATGTTAGTTTTGGCATCCGTGTCACAATCATGCTGTGCATGTCAGGTTTACTCACCTTTATGAGCGACCAACTGCAGATCTGTTCTCTCATTTTTGTTCCCAAACTTCTGAGGGTCACAGCGTCAGCAGAGGGGACGTGGTATTCCTACCCTGATTTTGTCGCTGCGGATTTCATCATCGGAAGGATTGCCAGGTGGTTACCAAAAATGGAGACACAAAATATATCAGGGTTTTAATTCACGTTCTCTGTACTGCAGAAACAATTTCTTTCGGAAGCGGTTTTTACTGTGTTTTGATAGGCAATGTTTTGAAGGGTCGATCAACTTGGTTTTGTTGCGCTGTTTCGATCAAAGAAGTCTGCAGTCGTACAATTCACAGTTGTGACCACGGAAGTCACACGGCATGGATTTAAGAGGAGGGAGAGCAAAACCAGCACCTCGGGAAAAAAGTCAGTTATACTCGAATATTGCTGGTTTCAGTCTATCAAAACAGTAAACCCCATTTAGGTTCAGACAAATATAATATTTTTATTCTAATTTCGAGGTGATGCATATTTGGTCCAAGACAATTTAAACCATCTTTTTGGAGCTCAAGTTACCGAAAATGCTTTGATTAACTGGATACAAAAAAAATAGCTTAAGGAAGAGAAAAGGAATGTAACCCGTCAGGGAACATCTAAAAATGATATTTGACTCTAAACCAGTTTGAGTCGACCTCATTCAAAACTGGACCAATTAGAATTCAAACTGTATTTTTACCCGAGTTCTCACTCAAACCCTTGCCCATTTTTGCGGTTCTTTCCGGAAATATTTCTGTATAGATGCCACTTAGATCAATTGTCCATGTGAATTCCCCTGTGTATACACCTTATTGATATATCTCGTTCTTCGGAGTTCGTCTATTTCCAAGTTGTTATTTATACTTTATTTCAAGATGCATTGGAGTGTAATGGTCAAAAGCTAGCATTAGATAACTGAATGGACATTTAGTGGTCAGTTAAACAGCAGTTTTTTTAGGTGCGTGTCCGTCTTTTAACCGTGAACCTGCCGATTTGGTATGGAAACACTCATACCAAAGTTAGGCTTGACGGTCAGGTCATTGAATGCAGAGCTATATCCACTTTGGTACCAAAATCTTGAACAGGTCCTTGTAAACTTACAATTAACAAGGTCGGTGTGTCAATCAAATCATAAGGAAATAAATAAAACTTCTCGCTGACATGAGGATTCAGTCATTTGACTTTAAGATGGCAATATCATATAGTCAGGCAAATTCACGTCCATCATTTACTGAGTTTATATTATTTATGAAAGCCTATTTTTCCTACACAGCTTGGTGCCTTCTGGTTTGCAATAATACTATGGTGAGGTAATAATTGTTCACTGATACTGCTAAATTGGTTTATACCACAGTATTTTTGTATGCTTTAATTTAAATTGTCCAATGATTGCTCAACCTGGTCGTTTAACTGTGGATCACGTCATTCACTGAGTAAAATTCGTTCGATTTAAATTTAACCTGAAGTAAAAGTTGTCCGTAGTTCTTTTGAACTCGGCGTGCGGTCGCTCAATTTGTGTGCTTTCTTTCTTTCTCATTTTACTTCCTTTTATTGAATATACAAAGATACAATTTTCAGGAAGGGGGGAAGCGGCCAATCAGAGGGCTGTTATGCAACACACAAATGGGGAAAGTCAGGCGGTGGTGGTGTGCTCGCGATTTAGTGGATTTTCTGTGTCAAAACTCGTCGTACAAAGTCGAGTTTGC